ATTAATATCTTGAAAATTCTTTCAATTTATTTTGCTGAGATTTCGCTGAAAATTGACATTCAAATTCTATTCTGGTCTATAAATTTTTGAACATCTGAAAGGATTCTGACCTAAGCCCAGCTAAAAACGTCAGGGAATCACTTCATATATATTTAGTCCAGAATTCTAAAATTTTAGAAGTCTAGAGTTTTAGAATAGGGCCACTGCTGGACGTTCTTATTCAAACGCTATGTACGGCCAAAGTTACCGAAATTGTTAATTTTCGGTCATATTGAACAATGGGTAAAATTTCAATAGTTCAATATTTCGGGACAAAAAATTTATAATGAATATAACTCATAAGATTATATGCCTGGAAAAAATTTCAGCTCAATCCATAAAGCCAATCACAAGATATTGCCCTAAGAAGATCCCCGTGATGAAAGTGTTCATTTTTGGGGCTTTTCGTGAAATGCTCAGAAAAAGTCGAGGGTTCAATATTTTTCAAAAGGCTTTCGTAGTAGTTCGTAGAATTCTTTGCTCTACAAAATATATTAAATTGAGCAGAACCGGACGATCTCGATTGAGCAATGTTGTTATGATTCAGGCGTGGCTTACGCGGACTGGCTCTTAAAAGTGGGCGTATACTTCTGTCCCTATGTATTGTTTAAATAGTTACAACAGATGGTCTTAACAGTTTTCAAACTAAGCATGCGATTAAAGTGACGCAATAAAGTTTTCCTTTTATTAACTGCTTGTTATATTTGTATATTTGTAAAAGGGATAAAACAAGTTACGCAAAAAGCAATACTTAAACGGATATATCATTTTTTTAAATAGAAAATCAAGTTTTAGTTTCATTCTGTTGTAAAAAAAATAGAACAGAACAGGTGGCATTTTAATTCTATTTCAAATCTGCAATCGATCTGCGATATGACATGAGTAGAGCATCAACTCATTTATTTATTAATATTAAATATATTCAATCAATTTAGAATAGTATCAGAGATAGTAAATTTCTAGAAATCAGAATACTATGTCCAATGAGTTGAGAAAAGAACATTTGAATACTTCGTTTAATGCCAAGAAAATGAAAATCAAAGTGTTCCATTATGTACGAAGTAATGCTGTCTCGTGGCTATAAATCGATTGTATTGTATAACGGTCTTTCAAACTGTGCCGTGACAAAAATTACTTTTAATGAGAAGAATTTCAGGATGTCATTTGTATGATATCAGAAACGTTTTTAAAAATTCTATTTGATTAGTATTTATTATTGCTCTTCGTCATATTTACTCTGCACATGTATATCCATCGATGCTCGAATATAAGATAAAATTTTAGATCAAAAGTGACATTTCAACTCAAATGATAACTTGTAATCCATAAGCAGTATTGAAAATCTTCAAAGACATTTAACGTCAAGTCTTCTGATAGGTCTATCTAATTGTATTAGAGATAGAAAATCATATAGTCTAACACTTATAAAAAAAATTAGGTTCTTTTATTAATGAGTTGTCTATTTCATGGTCGAACTTTCATTGACAAAAGCTTCCATATATTGATTAACTTCATCGGGCACATCTTGTTGTACCCAATGTGATGCATTTCGAATTTTTTTTAATCGAACATCAGAACAATAATTCGTGCTAGCATCAGCAAGTTCTTCACCTAGTGCTGCATCTTGGCAACCCCATATAATTAATACTGGCACGTCTATTCGTTTTTGTAAATCATATCTCGTATGTCTCACTAAAGCACGATAATAGTTTATTGCTGCTGTTGGTGTGCCTATAGTAATATAAAAATGTAAAGTAAACCAGTGAATTCATATTATTACCTTTTTGAGAAAATGTATAATTGAAAACTTCAAGATCATCGTCTGTCACGTTCTCTTGATTTACTAAACCCATTGGTTTTGTATAAAAAATTGTTTTTAACATTTGGAAATCGTTTGATTTAAACAACAGTTCAGGAATAAATGGTATTTGATAGAAAAATATATACCTGAAGCAGCGAAAAATTCTCAATATGAAACGAAATGTTTAAAAAATGAACAAACCATGATCGACGAAGCTGTCTAAAAGATATAGCATCAAAAAAGGCAGCTGGATGGGGAACATTCAGAATAATCAATTTGTCGATTAACTTAGGATAGCTAAGAAAATAAAAAGATACATACATGACCAAAAAGTAGAAAAATAATACGCATACAGCATAGCACAAGTCCATGAAATGATAGCGCCCCAGTCGTGGCCAACCAAAACACAGGATTTATAACCTAAAATTGTCCGGAAAAAAATCGATTACGAATAAGTACAATATTTTTGAATCAAACCAAGTTGTTCAATGATATCAGCAATATCACGGGCTAGTTTATCAGCTGCATAATTTGAAACTTCACTCGGTTTTGAACTAAGACCATATCCACGTTGATCAATAGCGACAACTCTTGAAAATGAATCGCTACTGGCATTTTTTTATATCGATTATTAAATAATCATACCTATATTTTTTTGAAAAATACTTCATTTGATATCGCCAAGTATACCAACATTCAGGAAATCCATGAACAAATAACATCAATGGTTGATCTGACGAACCTTTTGAAACATAATGTAACGAGACACCGGATGACTAGGAATGTTTTTTAAATCAATTTTAAATATTTATCATACCAAGAAAAATTTAAGCTACTTTCAATTTAATCATATCATGTTGTCCGTGCACAGGATCGGTTGCTTGTGCTGGTAGCTTCGGTCGTTCCACACGTCGGAAAAACTTTCTTGGACCGAGTTGAATAAAAAGAAGAGCAGCTAATACAGCGCCCACTGTACCATAAAAACATGACAAAACTAGTTTGCCAATCAATACCAGTATCTTAATACCGATTGATCTCTCCATTGACAGTATAATCTAAAATACAAAATAAATGCAAAATAAAAACCTTAAACGTTCTTCATGACCGCTGGACTTTCTATACTGGTTCTGTGTATTTTTTTTTTTTGATAATATTAACGCAGCAAAAAAAAAATATTTATATCTCTTATCGTGATGTTTGACAAAATACTGACTGTGCGAAAAGGTTAAAGTCGATATTACGAATATGCAGCAATCTTTTCATACAGACTCTTAATGTGAGGAAAGTAAAACTTTTTTACACTATTATTGACAGCAGAGAGAAAAGAAGAATTTTTATTTATTAATCTTGAACGACACCTATCGGTAACTATCAAATCATATAACGCCTGCCAGCTTGTGGTTCGTTGATAAAAATAAGAAAAAAAATGCAAGCTAGAAACAGACAGGAGAGTTCGAGACAATAATTATTGACTAAAATTTTAGATCGTTCAATAAAATGCGACGTAGTCGACCACGTTTCCCATCTTGGCGTCAAAATCGCCCTCAGTATCAACAATCATATCGGTATGACGGGACTCTTTGATTCCAAAAATAAATAAATCTATTATTTTACTTATTAGACCTCAATCTTCTCAATATCAACAGGCTCAATCAAGCGATGTCTTTGATTTCCTTAATGTATGTGTGTAAAAAACAAACAAGCTTCAATCAATCTCCTTTTCCAATTTTTTTTTAGTTACCTGAATCATTTCCAGCAATGAAACAACTTATTGAAGATCCAATCTTAACTCCGGTATGTTTTCTATATTCTTCTTCATTGATAATCTATAGAATTTCATTAATCTAGATTATTATGGAACGTAATCAACAATTAGCCCCATCATCAGCTGATAATTTCGCTTTAATCAATTTTGTTACATGTATTCGACAAAAACTTGATGCACTTGTTCTTTCACCAAATTCATTTGCTGCTTGTGTATGGAAATATTTTTATCATAAAGTATCTTATACAAAAAAAAACTTCTGTTTCAGCAAATAAGTGAAGTACGTGATGTTGGTTCACATAAACATAATACAATAATCCTTCCACCCATGGGTTCTCATCTAACATCAGATCTTGTTGTTGTTCTTAAAACACTACCAACACGTATGTTAACCATTTACTGTTGTTGCTGTTTTTATTTTCTTACACATGCGTTTTTCGTTTAGGAGAAGCAATCGATCAATTAGGTAATCGTTTAAAGCAAGATTTTCAAAATGAAATTGCACCACAACAAGCTGCATGTAAGTTTTTCTATAGTAGCAAAGAAAAGAAAATAATTTTAAAAAAAGTAGTGCTTTCAATGAAACCTACGAATGATGGTCTCTCACTTGACAATGGAACAATGGCTGTACACTTACTATTAACAACATTACCAGCTAATTGGCATTCACTTGATCCCACAATACATTTAGATCGAGCTATGTGTAAACGTAATTTTAATGCAATAAAACATGCCAAATGGGTCGATGAAGTTTGTATTCATCCATCAATTAAAGTTCTTGTGCGTTTATTAAAAGATTTACGACAACGTTTCCGAGGTCTCGAGCCTCTTAATCCGTGGTTAATTAATTTACTTGCACATCATTGTGTAACAAATAATAATTCAACTGAACAACTACCACCAAGTTATGCATTTAAGTAAGTAAACGATAATTTGTTATCAATAAAAAAAACAATTGATTTTTCTATTCTAGACGAGCTTTACAACTTTTATCCAGTGGTCTATTTTTGCCAGGTTTCAATGGTTTATATGATCCATTCAGCGATGCTAATATGCATTCATCTCGATCATATACAACAATGACACTAGAAGAGCAAGATCGTTTATGTTATACAAGTCAAACGCTGTTACGTGCTCTTGCAATACATCCAAAATATGTACTGGGTATTGAACATGGGCCAGATATATTTGCTGGACCTTGTCAACTGAACGGTGTTCTATTTACACCCAATGAACCTATCGTATTCGATACTGAATCTAATGGATATCCGATAAATGATGGTCAACAGCAAACAATGTTAGTTGAAGTCAATAGTTAAATTTTTATTTCAATCGAACAAAATAAAAAGTTTTCTAATATAAACTCGTTCTGTGCTGTCGCCTATTAACTTTATGTTGCTTTGTGTTTTTTTGTTATTTAATGAAAAGTGACAATTCCATTCGTGATCAATTTTCGCTTCAAAAAGAAACATAAGATATCGAAGTATGGTATTTCTCTTTGTTTCAATTTATTATTCATCTTTTGCAATAGACTCATTCAAATCGATTTTCTGAGAGTGAAAATTCTTCTCTGATCACTTTTTAGTTCGTAACTTACGATTATAAATAGAAAATTGAATAGCTAGATTGTTCAAAACCAAGAAAAAAGTTGTCATATTGAACATGGCGTTTAGGAAAAATATTATTTCATTTTAGATTATAATGAGTCATACAGATAATACTGATACTGATGTTGCTACTGGCGAATATCGCTTCCAAGTGATTGAAAAAAAATTTGAAACTATTGATGGAAAACAAAATCGAGATTTATTAATTAAATGGTAAGAAAATTTTTTGTTAAGAAAATATTTATCCCTTTTTTGTAGGGGTATGCGTGGAAAATTACGAGTGAACATGTATATATTTGATCAACCGTTTCAAGAATATAACGCTCGAAAATTTATTTTAGTAAATAATATTATCCTATCGAATATTTAATTTCTACTATTTCCGTATTTTATAGGAATTTTTTAAAGATCCTAATGTTCTTAGTACGCTTAAAATGTTTTCAAAATCAGGCGAATGGACCTGTCTAGGTCAAGCTGTACATGATGTTCGTATTGAACAATTAAGTACAAATATTCTTTCATTGGAATTTTTCGATCGTTTATTCGACAATAAAATTGTACGTGAAACTGGAGGATACATAAAAAAATGTATTGAAGAATATAAAGATGAATTTATTATTTCCGATGAACTTCGAAAAGTAAAATTTTACTTTGTTAATTCAAATCTTTATGAATTTATTTTAAGGTTTTAATCATGGATGAATTTGATACTTATGATATGTTTTCAGAAAACGATCGAAAAGAATTTATTTTCCAGTAAGATGATTAATTTAGATTTTAATATTTTATTTCTGTTCATTATAGTTTGTTTAAACATTTTTGTCTTGGTGGACAAGTTTGTCGTAAGTATTTTTTTTTATTCTAAAAGAACGATCGATCTGTATGAATGGAATAAAATTCATCTCACCACTCCTACTGGAATCAGTGAAAGTCGTTCCGGAGTTTGAAAGTTTTAGATCTCATAAGTTTTAGTGTGCATGTTAAACTTTTCATGCTAACCGTTCGTTAATCTATAACGTTTTCTATTTATAGAATATGAAGATGAGATTCAGCCGTATCTTGATGTAACGAAATCTGTCTATAAAGAATTAGTTAGCGTACAAAAAGATGCTGAAACTCAAAAAATACAAGTTGTTTCACCTGTTTTTAAAATTGAAGCATTGGTAAGTATTTTAATAAGCAAAATTTTAATTACTGCATTTCAAAAGTAAATCATATATCACTCAACATTGATTTCAGAATGAAAATGGCAAAAAATTTTATCCTTCACGCTCAGCATTTGAACAAGATTTTGTTTATATGACTATTGATCCAATCAAGCGGCATGTTATTGTTTTATCAAATTTTTATGAAGGACCTTCATTTTTTGAATAAGAAAAAAAACACAATTAGTTTGTTCATTGGTTCTGTAACACTTTTATCCGTCCACACATTTTATTGTTTTTGTTTCTCAATAAACGAATGAATTTGTTTAAGCAACACTTTGGGTCTTTCAGGAAATGTATCCAAATCAAAAGCATATAAAAATATCGAATGATGTAAGATTTCTCGTATTAATTTATCAATCATCCATAAATCAAATCGTTTATATTCATCTTGATTTTCTTTCATTCGTCGTTGAGCAATTATGTATAAAAGTTTATAAAGTGACGCAAAATTTAATCCTTCATTTGCTTGAAGTATTAATTGGCAATGTGCATGCCACGTATCACTCATCACAGAACGGCAATCTTCAATTCGATGTTCAATATCTTCAAGTGTTGCACATAAATGTTTCCAAATGCGTAGAATATTAAAAGCATTAAACCAATTATGATTAATGGATATTGTAAAACCAATATTGGTAACATCATGATACCATTCCGATGGTACAAATAATATATCACCAGGTTCTTGTATAAATTCAATGGAATGTGGCTTCGAAAAACGCCATCGTTTCCGACCACAAATATTTGCTGACCAAGAATATGTTCCTAGCACATCCATATGTAATGGTGTATTTGTTCCATCACCACCCATATAAACAAAACGAAAGTCATCTTCGTTTTCTGCAAGACATTTTTCATTAAGCCAATCGGATTGAAAATATGTTGGAACAGAATAGAATAATGGTTTTGTTTCACCAGACATTTTTTGTAAATGCCAATCTTTACAATAATATTCTGCTGTTGTTTCATTATTACGCCATAAATTAACAAATTCATCGAAACGCATCGTTAATTTATTGTCATCAGAGCTATATTCTGTTATAGTTGATGAACATTTTGTAACTGGTACAGTCATATGACCATATAAATTTATTAGACGATCAAAATCAGGTTCTGTTCGATCTTTATTCAACCATTCGGTTATACATGACCAGTCGTCCATGAAGCCACAGCTAGCTGTAAAGAGAGCTGGTCGGTTTTTAAGTAAACATTCTCGAATAAATGTGTCATATGTCGGTAGTTTATCATATCGAACAAGACTATTTTCATTGCTATGTGTTGTCCAATCTTTTGAAATAAGTTCTGTATAGATATCAGACATGTTATTATTCATCTCAAAAAAAAAACTTATTACAGGTCATGAGTACAAAATTGAGAGAGAGAAACAAAACAAAAAGCAAGGCACACACACACACACACACGTGATGAATATGTACAATAAAAAGAGACGCTTTGAGATTTTTATTTAATCACTTTCATCCCATCGTGATGATTCATCATCATTCTCAGATCCTGATTCTGGACGAATCTTGTCGCGACGATATTTGGCTGCTTGTTCCATAATTGCCATAACATTCAGTGCTGATGTTTTAGTGGTAACTGCAGCAGCTTTCTTTTCTTCTTCTTTTTTACGATTATTCAATTGAATACCTTTGAATATGAGAAGTAAACTTAGATCAGAAAATTTATTTCTTTTTTAATTCTATTACCTTTTTTGATTTCATCTAATAAATCAGAATGAAGATCACGCATTATATACGGTCGTTGATCCTGAATAGAATTTTCTGATGTCATAGAAACATCATCTCTATGAGACGATGATACATTATTACTAGAAGTACCATTTTTCATTTTATTTGGTGTACAGGCCACTGCCGGTCGTATAACAAGCGATTGAATCGTAGAATTTGGTAGAGGTGGTGCCGGTGGAATATTTGATGGTAGTGGAGGTGCCGGCGGAGGAGGTGGTGGTGGAGGCGGAGGTGATGGCGATCGTTCAATAAAATCTGCCGGCGGTGGAGGTAGATTATCAATTTCGGAGATAGTTGCCAATGTTGCCATACCCGTATTTTGCTAAAGAAAACATAGTTTATTTTAAAATTCTTTGAATAGAGAACAGAATTCATACTGGCAGAGGTGGTACTGGCGGCGATGGAGGAGGAGGAGGCGGTGGTGGTGGTGGTGGAGTAGCCGATGGTCGAGCCATGGCCTGTTTCATCATCATCTGATGTGACAGATGATTGTTTGGTTCGAATTCAGACAAGACTGGTTGACCTCGTTGGTTTATCATTGATGAATGAGTATGAAATCGAGTTGATTCTTCTAGGTGATGTCCATTAGATTTGTTATAAGATGCATCCGATGCAGTTGTATTCAAGTTCATCATCATGAGTTGTTGTTCACGAGTTGATGATGATATCGATGAGATTGGATTGCCGTACTGTACTGAATCTGAACGATGATTATTATTTGAATATTGCAAAAGTTGACGTTGGTTTGGTGGTGAATAGATTTGTTGTTGTTGTTGCAATCGATTAGAATTACGTCCTGTTTGATCCAAATCGTGTCGTTGTCGAATTAAATCTTGAGGACTACGATATTGTTGTTCTTCAGATGTTTGACGAATAAGACGAGCTTGTGACGATGATGTTGGATTCGATGCATAAATAGATTCTTGATGAAGTGATTTTTCTTGTTGATATCCTTTCTGATAAAATTAAAAAAACAAATTAAGTTCATTCGTTCGTCGTTTTTTGTTTCTTCTGAATGAATATTACCGGTGATCGACAACGTTCATGTTTACCAGATCGATGACCGTTTTGATTTTGTGGAAATTGTATCATAGATTGCATCCATAAATTAAAAAAGAACGAAGGATCTGTATAAAATTTCATTGAATCACGACCATCATCTCTATTAGAAAGAAAAACAATCAATTATGAAATGTTCAATTAGACAAATATGAAAGCAAACCGATAAGGATTCAGTAAATGAAGTGCTGGTGCCGGTTGTGCCTGTTCATAGAGAAAATGAAGAGATTTTGGCATTGTTGCACGGTTAACAATTTGTTGATCAATTCGAGTCACACTGACAAATGGTTTTCGATTGCTAACATCTTGTATAGATACTAAAAAAGAAAAGACAAACAATATTTATCAAACACAAATAATAAGATCGAATTAACCTTCGTCAACATTGGAATCTAGTTGTGTAACTTTAAGTTTAAGCCTTTCAATACGACCATGTATTGCTTCTGTACGTTGAAATATATGTCCAACATCGTTTATTAATTCGTCAAAAACATCTTGTGCATGGCCACTTAATGAGCTTAACTGTCGTATAACATTTGCCAAAGTATGATTTGAAACGCATTCGAGTTCATTTTGAATATTATGTGGTACTCGTACCTGACTTAAATGTATCGGTTCAACAGTCCGTTTATTAAACGGCATTTCATCTGACAAGAATAAAACCGAGAAGTTCTCTCAATTAGAGAGTAAAAATATTTGCCGTTCTCGATCGTTTGACCGATATAAGACAAAATGTTTCATTCGGCATCTCTCTATTGGTCTCCTCCAATCATTGCATATTTCTCATTCGTTTATATTCATCCAATGGGATTAAACGAGAATATCCATATGATATGAAAGTCTAAGACAAAAAGTTTTAACTGGATATAATTATGTATCGACTATTAAATACAGTTCGATTATTGCCATCTTCAATTATTGTTCGATTGAATTCAACATATAAAATTCCTGTACAAAATATAACAAATATTGACGATGAAAATGACGAGGATGATAATCTAAGTTTAAATAAAACTCGGCCACCTAAAGATCTTATATTTGCTGATTCAAAATCATCTCGATTTAAAGAAAAAAATCCTCGCAAACAAAAACAATGGTTAAAAGAACTTGAACAAAAACATATTGTTCCTAAAACACCTTTATCATCATTTGCGAAAGAAACTAATACAAAAGCAGAAAATAAAATCATTCAGTAAAGGAAATATTTTTCTTTTTGATTGCTTTTTGTTAATCCATTTGATCGATATTATTTAGAGATAGATATGTAACACCTGATGGAATCATACGGGAAGATAATTTTCCAATTAATTTCGATACAGAACTCGATGAAAATGATGAAGAAAAAGAACCTGATGAACCTAAACCTTTAGCCGTCGGTGGTCGCCGATATCCCATATGGTTCTATGCAGGCAAATTAAAACATTTAGCATCAGAAAATAAAGTTCAAGCAACACTTGATTATTTTTATAAAGAAATGATGGATAAAGAACGAGTTGCTCCGAATTTATTTTGTTATCAAGTTGTGATTGGTGTATGTGCACGAAATGGCTATTTAACACAAGCCTTTAATCTCTACCGTGAAGTAAATCTTCTTCTATGCGTGTCTTTGTCAATAAACATAAATATGTTTATGTTTGATCTAGATGAAAGATCGTGGTTTTACAACCGTAGATTCTCGAAAGATGACCAAAATCTTTACATTGTTAGCTACTGCGTGTTATCGTGCATCAGATAGTAAAATGGCTATTGAAAGTGCAACTCATTTTGTCGATGAAATGAAAACTAAAGGCATGTCGATATTTATTATGATCAATTGTTATTAATTAACTTTTTTTCTTATTCTTCCAATTGAATAGGATTTCGTATTGAATATCGAACATTTAATTCATTGATAGCTGCTTTTGGAAAACATGGCCATGTGAAAATGGCATTTCAATTAGCTGATGAAATGGTGGAAGTTGGTTTTATACCAAATGAAGATACATATGTATCATTATTGATTGCATGCAGCGCAGAAAAAACGACTGGGTTTAAATACGCTATAGAAGTAAATGAGAGTTATTTTTGTAAGAAAATTCTACAAGGATTTTATGTAGATTTGGCGTCGAATGCTTGCGTTTGGTGTTAAACCAAATCCATTTCATTTTGGCCTATTACTGAATATAACGCATAATTGTGGATTAGGTTCACCAACATCGTTGCATGATTTACTTTTTCCATCTGAGCCTTTACAGTTTCTTTTTGATGAAGCTGAGACTACAGATATTCAACAAAAACTACATCAAGGACCATCATTTCTTTCATCAATGGATATATCTGACCGAGAATCTTTATCTACGATTTCTAATACAAATGATGAAAATCAACATCAATTAATTTCTTCGGAAATAATAGAATGTCAAGATAAATCAAGATCATCAGAATTAACCTCAGAATGGTGGCAAGATCCAGAAGATATTCGAATGGGACATCTATTAAAAAATCATCTTAGTCCATTTAATAATGCAAGTGTCCTCAAACCAAATATGTCCTACAAAGAACCAAATCTTGTTAGTCTTCGAATGCCCAATTCGCCAGCAGAAAGACTTATGCTATTAGGTGGTATTCCAGGTGTTTTAAAACATATGCAGGAATGTAATGTATTACCTAATCATATCATTTTCAATAGTTTTCTTAATGTAAATTGAGTTATTTATGGATTCAAAATAATATCAATTGTGTTTATTCAGGTTATTCCACAGTTGTCAGATCATGAACAAGCACTTATACATATTTCAAATATCTGCCAAGTCAAACCTAACATTCAATTCTATAATGCACTCATTCTTCGCCGATTGCAACGACGCTCAAAACAGGAAGCATTGGTATAAAGATAGTTTTTTTTTTGGAAAATCTTTGACATAAAAATAATAACTTTTAGCAAGTGTTGGATCTTATGCGTGAGGAGTGTCTTTCGCCCGATGAATATACATTTTCAGCTTTAGCTAAAGGATGCGAAAATAGACAGGACGCTGAACAACTTCTAAATGAAATGACAGTGAGTTTGCTATTATATAATTTATCCTTTAAACCAATATGGCTGTTTCTAGGAGCTCAATTTAAAACCGAATCAAAAAGTTCTCGAAGCGATGCTTAGAAATGCATTTTATCGTACCAACTTTCCATTACTTTCATTGATTTGTGAATCATATAAAACATATAATTTAGCAGTGAACAAAGGATTTCTTGAACGAATAGAGAAATTTTTATTAGACATTCGTTCGAAAATACTAGCGATGGTAAGTGCAGCATCGAAATATTCGTTACCGTAATGTGGATGAATCTTTTCTATTTTCTTAGGAACATGCCAATGTGGATAACGAGCAATATCGTTTGTTAAGTTCATCATACAATCGTTTTCAAAAGTTCTATAACAGATGGCTCAGTGAAGTGTCATATGCAAAGCGTTTTGATCAGAAAGTATCTTTTGTTTATGATAAACCAGATTTGAAAAAATAAATAAACGTTGTTTCTTGTTGATGAATAAAACTCGAATTAAATTCGATGCAAGAATAAGAATATGAAGACAATTCAATTAAATAGTTATCCTTTTGAAATATTCGGAATGGGCAACTGTTTATTTCATGCAACTTGTGTGTGAGTAATAACATCTCATCCGATGTTGAAAAAGTCATGACTATTTTCTTTTTCAGATACGCTTTCTTTGAGTAAGTAAATATGAAAAAAATCAAAGTACTTGACAATAACGTAACTACCGAAACAGCTAATTTTAGCAGCAAGAGAGAAGATGACCGAACAGAAACTTGCAAATACACCCTTCTTTTAAGTATTCTATTTACTGATTTTAACTAACAGCAAAAATATTTTCTATCCTGCAGAACGAGACGACTCATTCAAATATACGCTTTAATATTATTTCATCCATTTAGAAAGTGGCATATGCTTATTGAACAGCTTATAAATAGAAGCAATAAATACATCAAAAAATGTTAACAGAAAAAACAATCCTAAAATAGCAGTACGAAAGTTAATGTACTCGTTGAAAAGAGAAATCCAAGTACACAGAAAAATGTTTTTTTAATGAAGCAGCTTGAGTTATCTCCGTTTTCCCATGTTCCGTAAGATGATTTTTTACAAGTTCAATAGAATTCAATGTTCTACTTTGTTTGATCATTTCGATTATTGATGATACACATTCATCTGTCAAATTACAGTTGTTCAAATATAAATTTTGTAGAGATCTATTGTTTTTTAATCCATCAACAAGTAAATTTATACTATCATCACTTATTTCGTTACTGTTCAGGTCGAGACAGTGAAGTGTTTCGTTTAGACTTAACATTTGAGCTAATTCACTCACACCTTCAATCGTAATTTTTACAGATTCTAACATTAATTTAATAAGAGTTCTATTGTTGATGAGTGCAGATGCAATATTTGAGACACCACTATCACCCAATGGATTATGACTAAGACTAAGAGTTGTAAGTGTTGTTTGTGACTCTTCTAATAAACACGCAAGTTCATTTGCACTGGTTTCAGTTAAATTGTTCATTGATAAATCAAGACTTGTCAATGAGCTATTTTTCATCAATGAAGGAATAATCATCATCAATGCATCATCTTTTAGGTGGTTGTGGTTTAAATCTAAACTCTTCAATGTGGAATTCATTTCAAGCATTTTCCCTATTTCCTGCATACATTCAATAGTAATCTTTGTTTCACCAATATCAAGAGATTCCAAAGTCGTATTTCTTTTCAAGACATCAGCAATCATATTCACACCATTGTCACCGATTGGATTGCCTGAAATGTGTAGTTCCCTTAATGTTTTATTTACCAGTAACATATCAGCTAGATGTTTAGCACCAATTTCAGTAATGTCATTATCATTTAAATGTAATGTTCGGAGAGATCTATTCGATCTGAGAGCTTCACTTAGGGCAGCAATACCATCATCACCAATCGAATTCGATGAAAGTTCAAGATGTGTTAATGTTTTATTTGATTGCAACATACCAGCTAAGTCTTGAGCACCGATGTCACCAATATGGTTTCTATTCAAATAGACAGCTCCTAAACTTGTATTACTTTTGAGAATAGCAGCTAACACAGATGCACCTTCATCATTCAAGAAATTACAATCAAGACTAAGACATTTCATGGTTGTATTCAATTTTAATCCATGCATTAATATTAGTATATGTTTTTCATTGAGATAGTTTTCCCATAAATACATAGCTTTCCAATATTTATTTGTCGCTAATTCTTGACTAAGCATTTGCATATCATCACAATCAAGGAGTTCTTTCGGAAAACGTATTGATTCTTTCTTTCGTTCTTGATTTATGAATTCTTTTAAAACTCTTTTTTCATGGAATTTTGTTGCTTTTTTCAGCATTTTTATATCTTCTTGTGGAAGTAACGATGATGACACAGACAATGATTTACTTCTCTGTGTGTTTGCTAGGTGTGACATAGAACGTGTAGATGATAATGGTGCAGAGTAGGGTTTATCATGATGATACCGTGGCATTGAATTATTCAAATTTGACGATGTTAATGGTGATTCAAGATAGGACACTGTTGATTCAATCTCTTTTAGATGAATAATACATACATCTGTACTGGGACGATTTTGACTGAGAACTTCAAGTTGAATACCAGGTAAAAGAAGAATTTCTTCAATATCATTATAGTATGAGTGTTCGCTAATGGCTTTCCCCGTTTGACATTCAATTTTGAATAACGTTCTTATACCTCTTGTACCTAAAAGTCGATCTGATTGAATATCATCCAATGAGTCAACACATGAGCTAAATGATATAAAAAGAAGTTTAGTTAAATAATTTTGATTCTTATAGAATTCAATAATGTTACCTAAAGCCCCACCAAACAAATTTTTTTCCTACTGGATACTGTGCACTTAAATCTGCTTTGACTCCTCGCCATACTGATTTTCTTAGTGATTTCAGTTTCCATAATGCAGTTAAGAACAATTTCAAGTACATAAGATATGGAAGAAGTTCAGAACGATCTTTTGATCGAAGTGCAGCGTTCAGTTGAGGGCATAAAGATTTATCATTTACTTTGCCATCCATTGTGTAAAGACAAATCGAAGCAGATTCATCTTGACTTAATCCATCAGGAGGACACGCAGATCGTTCATTCGCAGTATTTGCATTTTCAGTAACTTTCGTTATGATTCTTTCCAAGTTTTCAACAGCCATTTTCAATGATAATAATGGCATATCATCATAACCTTCGATTCTAAAAGACACAAATTTAACAATATACATATGTTGTTTGAATTATAAACTGATCGGTAATCCAACTTACGATGAGAGCATCTCGTTTGGTTCATTTTGTACGTCGAAAAAGCGTTGATTGGCTTTGAATAATGTCATATTCTTTTCTTTAATAGTATTAAACTGTAATGCTTTTAATTCTGCAACCACATTCACTATTTATATAACGCGATGACAAGCAAAAAGCAGATTTATGTACGTCATGTTTCGCCTACTCTTGAATTTTTTAGCAACGTATTATAACGTGTCGCTTTGACATGTTTAATCCTAACAATTGTCTGCGATGTTTATTCAAGATGAAACGACTTAACGACGATGTCATGCTTATAAAAAGAGCAATAAAAATTGCTACATCACTTTTTTTCTGTTTACCTTAGTCGTTTCTTCAGTAAAATGACAATTAATCGTTCAGTTCTTCTGGGCGAAAAATTAAACGTTAATCGATTCAGACGTTGGCATTACTCAACAAAAGGATGTTTTTTTAAAATATGAATTAAAAATTTCAAACAAACTGGGAGTATATTTTGCAAGGGGGAACACACGGGCTTCGGTACTTCCGAAGTACGAAAAAGTATGAAAAAGTACAAGGAATACAGAAAAGCACGATGAGAGCTGTATAGATACATGAATATGCATAGAAATTTCTTCAAATTTATTTGAAAGAAAAAGTCTAATCATAACTATAAAATATTATAAAACGATTGCTATTATCTTGGCGGCTTGATTGAATGACTCGAGAGAGTCGACCATTTCACAAGCGCGTATTTTTATCAGTTAATAACCAGCAAGTTAGCGGAGGCGGAGGCATTAGGGCTGGGTGGGCTCAAACTAGGACAGATAAAGGCTGGGGTAGACGCAAACCTAACATAGATTTGAGGAAATTAGATTTAGGCAAACTTCAAATAGGCACACCAAGGACTTGATAGGCTCGACAAAATATAAAAATTTTCTACTACTGCTTATTTTCATAGTTTTTCGATCAATGGTGTACCCTAAGATGTTCAGTCCATATCTCAGCTACTTCTAACTTTTGTTCAATGATATGTTTTTTGAATTTCATTGACATCTAATTAGATTGACGTTGAATTGTTTCTTTTTAGTATAGAACAATTGAATTTCTTTTTCCAATATTCTATTTAAAATAGTTTTTGAATTTTATCCCTGCCACAAAAACCAGGAAAATTGTAGAGGTCAATCGCAGTTTACTCGAAAAATTGCCGACCAGTGGTAGTAATAGAGCCAGTTAATGAATCAGTAAAATCGTTGGTTTTTGTCGGTTTTCACTGTATTACTAAATACTTGACAATGCTACTCCTTTCCTGTCGCAATACCAGATAAACAAAATCAGACTTTACCTTTCTTTCACAATAAAAGCACGAAGCCCACTAGTTTTCATGAAATTTCATCTTCTAGTTTAATTCTATTTAACAATTTAAATGATAACTAAAAGCGAATCAAGGCTATGAACAGAAATGCCATAGTTAAAACTAATAAAAATCTCACTATCAACTTGATGAAGCGCCTGCACTGATTTTATTTAAAAAGATCAAGACAGGAAACGTTGTTTTAGCTACCGAACGGGTCTATTTCTTGTTAAGCTATTTTTTCTAATGCTTTTTCAATAACACTTTTCAGTTAATTGGTTATAGTTTCTGTGTGGGTGTATCTGACCAACACCAACCACACCCTTTTTGCTTTGAATGTATAACTTTTGAATAATGTGAATCCTTTTTCCAGTACAGAGGTTTTTGTTATGGATGTTGCAAAAGTGAAACTTACAATAAAATGAGAGCTGTTATGAAGTAGTGAGTATCGAACTCATTGAAATTCGTCATCATGATATTGTTTAATTTGTTATTGTGCCGATATAGGCACTCTCTCTATCTTAATTAATGCAGATAACTACTTTCTCCTCTATACATACTGATACTATCTATTGTATGTTCAAATTCATCTATCCTGTTCGACGTGTGTCTCTCTTCCCCTTTGTCGTGTTCGCTCTCGTTCTCTCCGGTGGATTGACTAGCCCTGGATAAGCGGAATGTAGCTATAAAAGGAGAAGGATGATTGAAATAAAACAGTTTGATATCACGATAAAATAATCTTATCGTTACAAACAGTAGACGCACTTAATTTGACTTTCGATTGCCAACATACGAATCAAGTTATTAGTTGTATAATAATTAATTCATTTCAGACCATTTTTTAACACAATAACTAAAGTTTTCAATAACGACTAATGTTATTTAAAGAAGAAAAAATAAAAGAGTTTTGATTTATTCTTTAACAAGAAATAAATATTAAAGAAAAGCTTGTAAAGTTTTATGATCATTGTCGTAATCTATTGTGTTTAACATTGAGAAAAGCAGAAAAATAAAAAAGCTTTCTAGCAAAAATTAGACGCACAAAAAATAATAAATTTTGATTATTTTGTATCCGAGACAATCATAGCGTCGATACTTTTTTTAAAATCACTTCGACAAGGAGATGAGATATATCCGAATGCATAGCAATATTGGTGTCATTGCAAATTACCGCGTATATCGAAAGTTGTCAAGAAATTTAAAAACAAAAGCGTTCGTGTTTATTAATAATATTTCTTCTTGAATGATCAAAAAATACAATAAAAAACTTAAAATACATTTTTCGAGAATATCATACACATTAAACAATAAGCAGATTCATAGTCAACAGTAGCATTTATAATGATTATCTTTAAAAAGAAAGAATTAACAAGGTGGTAAAACATTTTGGAAAAACTTTTCCTTCACATTTCCAGCTGGATCGTATAGTGCAACAACGAACGCTGTTTTTCCTTCGTTGTCAAAAGCTATTCCCACACCTAATCTAGTCGTATTTTTCCAAACAACTTGAGTGAAATGACAAGTTGACATTGAAAATATCGGTATGTTAAAGTTATAATCTTTGATCTCACCATACCAACATTGAGTTGCCGTAGCACCTATGTAAAAACAAAAGAAAAATTAGAAAAATATTATATCAAAAATAAATAAACTTATTGAAATATGTTGGATTGATGTTACATTTGATTTTGTATATACATTTTCTCCCTGTTTATATTCATATGTACGTTGCTGATTTTGAGCTGTGTTAGCTGAATTCACAGCAACACGTTGAGCTTTTTGACTTAAAGTATTGTCGAGAATAAGATGGGGAACACCATGTTTAGCTCTTAATGCATTGTGAAGATTTAATACTTCGATTTGACATTCATTTAGTACTTTTAATAATTCAGAGCAGTCTTGTGACGAAGTCCCGCGATGATTAGGTTCCTGCCAAAAATCTTCGAGTTTCCTCCCAAGAACTTTTGAGTGGTCATTCGGAAAATTGTTGTCCCATCTCCAGAAACGGTTGAACCGCTCAAAAATCTTTCTGAACATACCCACGCCGTTTGTTCTGTCTTCGCCACTAGAACAATCTACAAATAATTCTGATTCTGATTCTTCTTCTGCCTTTTTTTCTTCATGATTTTGATCGTGCTTCTTGTGCTTTTTATGTTGACTATGCTGGCTATAGACGTCTTCTTCATTGATCATTGTTGGAGATTGACGAACTCGATCATCAACAACGTCTTCAGAATCAGAATCAATATGAGTATTAGCAGACGTTTCATTGAGGCGAAGTGGACTTCTACGTCGTTTTAATGTTGATTCATTGATTTCATCGATATTTGAAAGTAATTTATTCAACCTTGAAAGTGCTGCATTGGTATCTGAACGTCGTGTGTCAATCTTTGAACGTGGCGCGCCGATCTTTGAAAGTCGTGCATCCCTATTTGAACGTAACTTATCGTGATTTGAACTCCTCTTATGGACATTTCCCTGTTTAGACAGAGAGAGTGCAAGACTTTGATTTGATAGCAATAAGTTTGAATCAACCATTGAACGATTATGTAAAATCGGTAGATTTGAAAGTCCGATGTTACTCATATTGCTAATCATACCATTGTAACTTGGAACTAGACTATAATTAGACATGTTTTACGTAAAAAGTAACTATCTGTCGTAGTTTTAAATCAACAAATTATTATAATTCGACTAGAGAGGAAGTTTTTTTTATGAATGCTCGATTTGTGTCAATGAAAATAAGTGTGTTCCTCTTCAATTTATATAACTGAAAAAATTAGTGAAGTTGACAATTTTCATGCTATAAATATATCGTTAATGTCGTTTTATTTGATAAAATACTTTTACAGTCATAAAATCTAAGATAAAAGCTATTTAGTATATTCATTTAATGAAGAAAACAGGCATCATAAAATATTAGCGTTTGAGAAAAAGCAAAGTCGTCACCATTGCAACCGATGAGGGTGGCGTAGTTTGTTCTAAAAAATTCTCGAAATTCATTTTAAAATGCTGTAAATGAATATGATTAATCGATGATTCAATAAAAAAAACAATCGTATAAAAAACATCTCGTTTATTGCTCCAGTATAGAAAAATCAAGAAAATCTATTCCTCAAGTAATACACCATTGAATATCTTTATTCAGAGGATGTGGGTGTGGGTGTGGATATTGTTCCTCAATGAGTGATTCGCCCACGCCCACACCTCATCAATATTTTGCGTTCGAAAGGCTTTGTTCAACAATCGGTAAAGAAATGAGTCACGTCTATACTGATAGACAGCTTTACCGGGTGTATAACTATCAAAGAACTCATTAGTCTTCTGAAGCTTGATCTGGTTACTAGCATAATTTGAACAACATTCTCCCCGCATTTGATCTTGAGCTGCTGATGTCACTTTAAAAGACGAAGTAGAATCTCTACAAGGAGTTGAAACCACATAAATGTAGTTTGTTCGGCATCCAAGCTATGAATGGTACGTTCCAACGGGTTAAAAATACTTGTTGACGTTAGACAACTTGATGGACGTCGTACATCCAGTGGCGAATCCACCAGTTCGGCTATCCGGCAACTGCCACCCCCCTCACGGAATATTTTTCGATTTTTCCCAGCAGAAAGGAAACAGAAAAGTGCCACCCCTTACTGATTTTCTGGATCCACCACTGCGTATATCCAGACACAGTTTGTCTGCTAGTCCCATTTCATCATTGAATACGCCATGCACTTTATCAAAGGGTGATGTTCAACTAATATGTTTGTCTTTGTCGAAACAAAATACGTATATGAAGACGATTTGATTCAAGGCATGTACACGTGGAACAACATATTCACCTAGTGATCCTGATACGATCAAAAAATGTGGTTAGAATTAGACGATTGCAAATATTCGATACATGGTTCACTCTCCTCGAAAGATCGAACAACATTTACATAATTATATAGAGCCACTTGTCGTTTAGTAAAATGGACGATGGATGCATCCAACCAAACCAATGTAAAATCATCGGGTCGACCGGTGTCTATATTGCTGCTTGCCATGTTCTGAATGAAAAGTGACACGCCTGTGTTTTACGGTTGGAAAAAATCGGTCTCGTCGACTGTCGTTAGGAAGAAGAACAAAAACAATAAAATAAACTGCCAGAAGAAAGCAAGCAAAAGCTGCACGCATTAATGCTACTCTATCTTAACGATGTATAGAAATTCAGCCACCGCTTCATATGAAAGAATACTACAATCGAATCTCTGCCTCACTATTATTTTTAGATTGTTGTACGAATTGTTCCTTCATCAAAGTAGCAGGCAATTGAGTGCTACCTTTGTAGCGCAGTTTCTACTGCTTGTTTAAAGATATCTTTTATTTAAAAGTCTAGAATATCTGAAAAAGTTCATCGAATAAATAATGAAATCCGGCATTCCGAGGGTGTAGATGTCGAGCGAGAAAAGATTAGCCGGCACCTACACACCCACACTCACCCTCTGGTTTGTGGATACAAATATTCGTTTATTCATTCACACTCACATTCTATATGACGCTCCTTTTAATAGAACTTTAGCAAACGATTAGCAACATTCCAAAAATAAAAAAAAATCTCGATTATTATTCAATAAAATAACAAGAATTATGAAAAACAAAAGATAATACTCTCTCATTGCGGATACATAATACAATAACGTATACTGATGTGGTAATGTCTTTCTCGTCCTCATGGTTTGAGACAATAGTACATATATCTTGAGGGGTGTGGGTGTGGGTGGGTCGGTGTGAATCCTCTGATGTTCAGCCCACCCCCCCCCCCCCACCCTGAAAAAGACATACGTGAGTTTCACACTTTAGTCCCAAAAAGACTATTCTAGCAATCTTTTCTAGTTAATTTTTCATCACAGAATAGGCAAGAATTTGTAGGACAATGGAACAAAAACAAGAAATTAAAGTACATTTTCACATTTTTTTTCAGAACAAATGGGCACAGCAGAGACCTAATTAATTATTAGAAAAAAAACAAGAAACTAAGTTATTCGATTGATCTTTTTTTATAAAAACGCGAGTCCATTTTCAAAATAACTCAATCATAATAGGCAAAAATTAAACAACACTAACCTTCAAAATTCTTCTCAGAAAAATGACAAGCAATTCTCGGAATAGCTAACTGAGAAAAAAAGAAAAAGAAAGTAGTTTTTTTCATCCTGTTGCTTCTGTAAAATCCCACGACAGTTATCGGAATAGGTAAAATAAAAAAGAAGTAAACTAAACCAGCGTTCTCCGTTTCTCTATCAAGTTTTTCACGGAAAAATGACAAGCAATTCTCGGAATAGGTAACTGAAAAAGAAAACGTTTTCTTTCATCCTGTTGCTTCTGTAAAATCTTCAGCAACTATCGCAACAAAAATAAAAGCTTGCCAGCGCGGTCCCTCTGGGACTAAAATGTGGAACTCATATGAGTGAATTGCGCTGCCATTGTACGATTGCATCTCGAACAAAAAAATGCTTATAACTCTAGTTCTACTCAACCGATTTTAATAAATTTTTTCAAATACTCCTTAGAATCTGCCTTACTTACCATAAAAATATCAAGTCTTTGGCTACCATCGCTGCAGAGTTTTTAAAAAGAAAACGCAAAAATCAGTGCTTTTTCGTGCCATCGATCGGTGAAAATCACTTTTCTTTTCGACAATTTTGATTGGATGAAAACAATTGTTTTAAACAGTTTTGTAGCCAAGACTTTTCTCTTTCTTATCATATAATTTGATCACAACTTTGGTTTTGATTTACCTATCAAATCTTGCAAAAACTGCCTGAACATACACTTTGAGCATTTTATGTCCCGACAGATTAAATTCAATCTAATAAGGCCAATTTCAAAGCTAACTCGATTTTGTTTTTAATGTTCGATAGGCTAAAGAGTGAGAAATCTTTCGATTTAAAAGTTTTTTCTATGGGCCTTCTGGATCAAATAAAAAACTAAAAATAAGAGGAGCGGGGTACGATCTTTCTACTAAATGTCCCGACAGATTTTGAATTTTGTTTCTTAGATTTTTTGATAACTATAAGAGATTAAGCCATGATTTTGTATCTTTTTTAACTAACTATATGGTAGATATTTGGTAAAAATTTCAGCTCTTAGTCATGTATCGTTCATAAGAAAACAGTATTTTACTCAAAAAATGTCCCCACAGATTTTTTTGTACCAAAATGTCCCGATAGATTAAAATGATAGATATTTAGAGAAAATATAATTTAATTTCACTTCAATCGACTCCTCTCAAACTGAGAAACATTACTCTTACATTCAGTGAAAATTCTGAATTCCTTAAACAACCCAAAGTTCTGATAGTGAGTGGCATAATAATGGAGGTGTGATTAGGGTGGCACTACCCTCACCTTCATAAGCAAATTATACGTTTGTATATGTGCAGATAATAATCTTCACATACTCGTTAGATTCTCCTTTTCCAGGGCTTTCGATTGATATATAATACAACCCAGGTGGAAGAAAACGGTACGTATACGGCCGTAAAGGCGCCGTGTTCGTACCATATACGACCCGTATGCGATGTCCGTATTCAATCACCTGGTAAATATATAAATATTCATACGGATCTTTTTTATGAAGAAACCCGAAAAAATCATGCATTTTATGGTGTCAAAATATTACCAAAAACATGCGTATTATTATAAAACGCAATTTTTTATTGAACGGAGAAACCGACAGTTGGGAAAATGCTATATTTATATACAACTGATATAGCTCTATCGAATGCACTACTTGAATATTATTTAAGTCGACTTTTATTTTTTTTTCGATTTTTTCTTCGAATCGTAATTCCAATGCCAGCGAAATTCACTCATATATGTTCCTAGTCGCTTGGTTCTCACTTGTGATTGATCTTTTTAGCATGAAAATATTTGTTCTCAATGTTAATCCTGTTTTATAGATCAATATATGTCATGTGCATTACGGCATTAGCGTTTTTGGCTCAGACATTCTACATTTATATTCGGCGAAAATTATCGACTATCTTTTCTTCGAATGAAATTTCAAGCAAGCGAGCATGACTTAATACAGCCAAAAAGATAAGACTTCGTTCAACGATCGCAATTATGATTGGAGTAGAATTTTCTATTCTTAGTGGCACATATAAAGAATGCGGATGTGAATGTAGATTGTTTGTTCGCATCCACTGTGACACGTCCACATCTATACTCTTCTGAGCATTATTTCTACGATTTCGAGTATTTCCAAAATCATTATCATCACTCGAAAAAGGCGTCTTTTTTCCATACTTTATCTTTATGTCTTAAAAATAAATACTCCACTTATCTCTATCCTTTATTTTAAAGAATACTGAAGATTAAATTTTCACTAATCTTGTTTACACATTGCTTCCAATTTTTTAGAATTATATCGTAATATGCAACAATAAATATACTTTTTTCATGTATTATTTTGAAATGAGTAGCAATTATTGAATCCTTTAATATAAAACGTTAGGATTTATGTTTTAGTACGGGAATGAGTAACTAAAAAAATCGAGAATAATTTTTGTAGACCGATTTCATATCACATTGAAAATTTTGCCAATGAATCAGTGAAATATATTCATTGTGTCAAACTTTTCAATATCACTTGATTGTTTGAGAAAACACCAAATTTATTTCCCTATTCTATGCTTTATTGCTGGCATGTTAATAAATCGTTTTCTACGTCATATGAATGTGGATGCGAGTATGATTGTCAATGCTAATGCAAAATATATTGTTAATGATAGCTACATGCACGCCTTCTTCAATGACTAAAATGAGAATCTCTCCATGTCTAAATAAGCATATTGAGAGAGGCTAAATCCATCATAGATGATGAACAATCAATTATATTGCATATTTTATATGCATCACTAAGTGTTACTTTCGTCTCGTACATCTCTTTCGTTAATTCTTTCTTTGCTTATTTATTTTAGATATTTCAAGAAAGTGTCTTCACTCTCTTTTATCAATAGTGTTGATCAAAATTAATTACTAATAAAAAACGTCGGAAGTACATAACTCAGTGTCAGTCATGAAATTTTATCTCATAGTATTTATATCTGTTATGTCTTCTTCTCGCTCACATTATTATACTCAGTTATCAGCGAGACAGCAACGTGATGGTATGACAACAGAACGGAACAAAAGGATAATCCCCCTTCGCATGGAATCGAACCATGCACCTCCTGCTTTCCGGGCAGACGTATTAACCACTGTACTAGAAAGGAGTGTGCATTATTCGTTTGTTCCGTCTTACGATCGAAGGGGAACACTTCGGTCGTAACAATATCCCTTCTGAGTATACTTCCTTTAACTGTTCATTCGCATTCTGATGGAAGCTTTTGGAAGAATTCCACAATTGCGCATCTTGAAGCAGGTCTATTCTTTGACTATGTGGGACTGTATAAACCGTCTAACACAATCATTCATAATTCGGCTATTTTTCCGATGACGACAGAAGCATGCCATCTTTTACCTCTATCAGATGCGGCAGATATTTCTTCATGTAACGTTACGACACATAGGCACAAACGTTCGCGTTCTCGTCTCATCAGTTTAGGTGTTGGAGTCATAGGTATGGGTCTATCTATAGCAAATAGTATACAAATGCTAAATCTTCAAGAACAGGTTGAAATGATTGAAAATACTCTATCAGAATTCTCGCAAACGATTCAAATACATGAAGCAAAACTAGCAAAACTTCAACCAAACCAGATCAAAATTGCAGAGCAACTTCAAGTAACACAACATGCCATTAACGATATCATACCTGTTCTAGATTCGCATTCCCAGGCTCTGAATACGCTTAAAACTGGCATTGAACGATTACACATCAATTTCCAACGCTCCTTCATCTACTTAGCAATAACCCAGATCTTTCGTAATCAACTCACTTTGAATTTTTTTATCACCAGATGATCTGCAGAAAGTAGTATACCACATTATTGATCAATGAAATCTAACTTTTAATGCTCACCATGGATCGATTTCCATTGTCGAAATCATTACTAAACTTCTCGTTCGTCAACAGATAGACTTCATTCCCAGTTCATAATATAAAAATCAGAATCCACAGGAAATAGGTCGTCTTGTCATCACTAGTTTTTTTGCCGTTCCACAACAGGAACAAACATCATTTCAGGTCTACAAATTATTGGCGATGCCCTACCTGCATAAGAATCGAACTATTCAACTCTCTCATATTCCTTGATACTGGGCAATAAGCCCAACAGACAACACTACTATGGAATGGCATGATCCTGAAGAATCCGGATGCAACCTCCAATTGATGACATCATGCCGTGATACTCCACCATTACGTACAATCTCAAAAGATAGTTGCCTTGGTCAAATCATAGGAAGTCTTCCATTGTCCAGTTGTCATGCAAACTATGTCTCCCATTCCGGAGTTTTTGTTCGACAGCTGACAGATAACGTTTGGGTGACTTCGTCATCTGAATCGCTACATTGTCTAAAAATTCCAAAAATCGAATATCGAACTAGTAATCACCAAACTCTGAACATAAGTCAGCAAATAATCCTTCCACCGATAGCTCTTGTAAACGTAACTCCAGGTTACACAATTTTATGCCCTCGATTCACTTTGGTAGGCCGTCCAAGAACTTATAATGTCTCTTCGCTCATAATCCTAAACAATAGGGAGCTATTCTCTACTAATATGTCTATCGTGGATGTCTCTCGACACCTCACCGAGAATACTACATGGTTTAAGACAAATTGGACTGAGCAAAGAATGCATGAGATCATACACGATCTACAACAACCAATAACAGTTCCTACCACTCATCAATTTCCTACCACTCGTCAATTTCCTCCCATTCACAAATGGTCTCTTAACATGCTAGTAACTAAATTGACATTTTTCGGACTGGCCGCCAGTTTAATATACTTGGCTTTTCGACGTTGTCGAACAACTAACCAACAAACTCTTCGAATAATTTAACGTTCCCAGCTACCAATAGACAACACAATGTACATAATCAACTTATTAAAAAGAAAAAAAATATACGTTTGTTTTCTAGGTAATGGTATCCAACCAAAACCTTATTTATCAGATATCAGCAGAACAATTTGAAAATGTGATAAAATCAATTCATATAAAAACATGGTCTCCCATTTCCACATTCTCAACAATACCGTATTTCAACAACAAATCCATTCAAAAAGAACCCAATGCCATCCACCAACAGTAATGGCAGCAGCATAATACCGTCTATCAAAATTCGTTACAACCTCTCATGTCGCTAGAACTCAATCCGCCATCTCAACAACAATACAATGCGATGACTCAGCCGGTACCACTGATGCCATTAGTTTTGCCTAGTTACGACTCACCATCTATCGAACCGAGCAAGACTCACACGAAATTCCGTGACAATAACAGTATATACAACCACTTTAATCACAATCCAAAATGTTATGATCGCATTAAACAACACCAATACTATCGTCATGGTAAAAAATACAAGCCCTATAATAAACTCATCGACGACACTGCTACGTACACAAAAATGACGACAATGGCACAAAATGGAAGAAAAAAAACTAGAGAAGAATGAAAAAACACCTAGTAATGACGAATCCCTACTTGATATATACACCATTGTCGACATCGAGAGGATTGAACTTTTCTAAATACTTGAATAAAAAGAAATGTACATTTCACTTTATATATGAATCGTATAATTTCAACTCATTATCACTTCTCTATACTGCATTATAATGTAAAATAATCTAGTAGTTAGGAGTTCATTTTCTTTTTTTTTGTCCTCTTTTTGTATGTTTTTCTGTTGTTTTTTTCGTCACATGAAATCAACTGTTCTTTTTGTGGTATATAGTATGTTTGCAATATATTGTTGTTACCATCTTTTGTTTATTATTTTGTTAATTTCTTATGCTTGTAGTGGTGCTCTTACATGTTAATATAAACTTTGCTATGAATGGCACTGTTTATCGCAGTCATCACCTACTTCTTCTGACATTCGTGACTAGAACCACTTGCTAAAAGGTATGAAACCTTTATGTTTATATTCTCTGTTCTCATTTTCTCGTTTTTTCGCTTGTTCTTTCTTCGCATTTTATAAATTCGTTTCATAATCAAGCGAATAAATCAGGACTAAATCAAATGCTTCATGACATGACTATCTTTAGGTCCAATAAGCTTATGAGACTATAGTGGATTGCTTATAATTCGCAATGAAATATCATTCTTTTAGAAACGATGAGAGAATCCGTAGGATGAATGCTACTTGTTATTACTATTCATTTATATTTCCAGATACTTGAAGATTATCAATGTGTTTTTCCTTATATTCAATTCACAAAAGAATGCTACGTTTTAGTATGGTAAAATTTGTAACTAAAGCTGAGATTGGAGTTCAATACCATTATCATAAATTGGTAGAAACAAAAACATATTAGTCGAAGATGAACTGAACGCCATCCAATCTATATTTTTCTCATAGATTTATTGTTTGACGAACAGATGAACTATTTGGTATCCTCATTTTAGATATATGATGCCATTACCTGGCAAATAGCATTGAGACTGATTAAGAATGAACAAGGAAAGATATGTTCATATTTTCTATTTTTAGCATTTTTGTATGTCATAGGCCAGCTATTTTATCATATTTATATCGATAGCTAATTGTTTTCTTTGTAAATATTGTTACCATTTTCGCGTCGGCATGTTATTCTCGACCAAAACTGGGTTGATGGAGAAACTGCAAAAGAGCGATATCTCATTGTCTCCGAAGTTGTAACCTCGCGTGATATGACATATGATCCACAATGTCGAAGAAAATTTATTTCAAACTGATAGTCCACTTAATTTTTAAGAAACTTTCTAGTTTTTTTGTTATGGCTTTGTTCTTGTCTTTGATTTCAAAAGTTATACATTTCTGTTTCCTTCTCAACTTGTTCACATTTTATATTGTATAATATTATCTAAAATAAAGAAGTAACTCAAGCCACTTATGCAAATATTGGAACTCTTTTTGATGTAATCTGTAATTACAATGTAACTGAAATGAAAGCAATGCATATTTATTGCTAGTAATCGTCAGTAAAGTTTGAGTAGACAGCAGGCGGGGACTTGGTTTTATTCTTGTCTATTGATCGTTCCTACTCAATGTTTCATATTACTAAAATACATACTCTATGAAGAGTCCAACTTTTGATTGACTATTTTATTAGTAATTCTAAGCACAATTAAACAAAATTAATTACGATAGCTCTTTTTTTACATATTAGATCAAATTCCTTTAGATGCAAATGACAAAATCATATCATAAAAACTCGAGAAATAGAGATATTTCGATGTAGATAAATAATACTTGATGGTCACTCCAAGTAACAAGAAAATCTGTCAAGTGTTTACCTTATTATTGATGGATACACTTTCGATCCTAAGAAATTCAACGGATACAAAATATTTTGTGGTTTTTAGCATAAACTAAAGTTGGGTAGATTTAATTGAAGTTTTTGCTTGACTCTTACAAATTCAAGTGAAAATAATTTTTATTAATTTTGGTTGTATACTTTTGGAAAACTTTTCAGAGAATGATTCATCTTAGTGCAGGCTGTAACTCAAAACCGTTATCAAGTAGAAAAATAAATAAATACGAGAAAGACTTGGAATAAATAGTCAGTCATCCACCTGCAGCAACTTATAAAGAAAACGGTAAGAAAATAATACTGTTATAACTCTAACAATTATTTACCTTGCATTGTGACATTGACAATTCAATCAAATAACGGCGATGTCAATGGAGTGCAAACTTCCATAATTAGTTAGACTCGCAGAATATGGGAGCAGTTTATTTAATGGAAGGCGCTGTTCGATTTCTGTTGTGATCTTACTATACCTTAGGTACACTTCCGTACCGAATCGATCATACGATTTTATGTGAAAAGTATTTCAATTGCTTATAAGACTGGAATTTCCTGAATCAGTGATGTCGTCGAATGTTTCAGTTAATTTCACTACGTATGAGCATCTAAAGCAGGATTATTCGGTCCACGTCGCAACTATTATACGATCGTTTACCACCTCTCCGGCTAATCTAATAAAGTCCTTTCAGTAGAGGGTCAGCGGCGCTTACGTCGCGTTACTTGTTATTACTATCGTGACTAGATTTCGTCTGTATTTGATTCAGTGGAATATGATTTCAAAATCCATATGCTAATGCAACTGAATAAGCACTTATTCAGAATAAATGATGAAAAACATATGATACATTCATGCAGTTTACGATACTGTACTAAAAAGGACTAGAATTACGATAAAATACGGGTATTCGTAACTATTGACCTGAGAAGAACAATTAGGTAAAAGAACTACAGCATTTTTTAATATATTGCCAATTGTAAACCTATCATCATTGTTTACTTTGTATTTGATGGCCCAGCACTCGCCATCATCACATCAGCTAATAACTCGTTTTTGGTTTGTTTTGCATCGTCTGCCTCAAGTGTTATATTATTTTATGCAAACACTTTGTGTCCTTATCACTGTTATCGATCAGATAACATAAATACCACTTTTGCTTATTTCTCTTGAGATATTCAATTATAGTTTATCTTCTTGGATCCACCATTATCTATTTTGACATCATTAATAAAACGTAAAAATCTCTCAATAATAATTCGAAATTTTCTACGAATTCTGGCATAAGACAGGTAGAGACATCTTAGTATATAGATTGTTAATAGCAGCCAATTACACTAAAGAAACATGCAAAAGAAGTACCTTGATTATACGGGTCAAAACTTACGTTAGTGAACACCCTTTAAAGTAAAGAAAAGTCACTTTCAACGACACCATAGTCCGACGTAAAAAATGGTTTAGGGTATAGTCTCACAAATGGTGTGCTTTATATCGCATTAAGAAAAAAACTGGAACTGCATATCTTAACAAGGAAGAAAAAAAGAAAAAAACTGCGCATCAACCCCCATAAACGCTATGCTTCGTAACACGCAAATGAAGAAAAATCGATTGTTTTTTCTTTCCTTGTGTTTTCTCTGTTGCCTATCGAGCACATGCGGAAAAAAACCAAACTTGACGAATTCGTTGTATTCTTTTTACTGTATGCAACTCTTTTTCAATAACGTAGAGTAAATACAATACTTTTGCACATTTTATGCATCGTTTTACTCCAAAGTATTGGTGATTGAATTGATAGTCGCAGAAGACACTTTTTTCACATATAGCACATATTAGTAGTTTTCTATTTTACAAATGACTGATAGCGAGACTGAAAATAGACACAACTTACATGACATCAATGTACAGTTCATAGTCATCATAATTTGATTGGAGATGTTACAAACCAAAACCCAAAGCCAGAAGAACGGAATATCAAAACCCATTCAAAAGATTTGGAAAAGAGTATTCATTGTCGAACATCGGAAATGAGCCTATGAAAAGTATGATCGAAGCCACAATTATATCAGGTAAAACAAAACAAAATGTTTATATTAATCTAACGTCAAATCAGTAAGAGATAATTCAAGTCAATATTCTATTAATGTTGGTAAATATTGCAGTTCAGGCAACTACCAAGAAGGTATGAGCAACTTTACAAAATAAGAATTTACCAGAAAGTAAAATTTTTGACTGAAAATATATAGCACTATGAAGTAACAATCTTGTTTTGGATACTTCTAATAGCTTGTATTGGATAGGTACGCCATCAATCAAGGAGATTGAATTTATGAAGATTTCAAATTATCCATAAGAAATACCACTCTCCAACTTTGTTACCTCACGTTTGTGTGACAGACAACTATGAGCACTAAAACTTATAGTGCGTAAGTCTATTTGCATTTGCATGCAGATTCTGAAGTTACTGTTGTGATGGAAGGTATATTCAATGTGAACATCATATTATTTTGATTCAAATATGAACTAATTTGTCTGAATATATGTTTTCTCCCGTTTCCTCTATTTTTATTGGTTATTCTTACTAGAACTATACACACCCATTGATTCTTTTTTTCATTCAACACTACTGTTTTATGTTTTTTTCGTTCTTGCACTATATTTGTATCTATTTTGAAGATGTATCGATTGCAATTTCGCCGATGTGCTTCAACGTTTTCAACTCGATATACGGCCAAAAATGAACCTATACTAGAGTATCGACGTGGTGGTAAAGAAGTCAAACAGTTGGAAGAGACCCTTAATGAGTACAAGTCAAAGTTAAATCGTATTCCTTGTATTGTCGATGGGAAAGAAGTTTGGACAAATTCCGTTCAACGACAACTTCTTCCATTCGATCATCAACACGTTCTTGCTGAATATTGCCTCGCAGATCCCGCGCTTCTAGAACGAGCAATTGAGAGTGGAGTCAAAAATCGATCCAGGTGGGAACAGATGCCGGTCGAAGAGCGAGCCAATATTTTTCTCAAAGTTTGTTTTTTTGTCACACATTTCTGTTCGAATTTTCATCAATATCACATCTAGGCAGCAGATCTTGGGTCCGATTTAAAATGGCGTTCTCGACTTCTGGCTTCGACAATGCTCGGTCAAGGTAAAACAATTTTCCAAGCCGAAATCGATGCTGCTTGTGAAGTGATCGATTTTTGGCGTTTCAACGTACAATATCTCGCATCTGCACTTGCCTACTCACCAATAAGCACTCGCGATTCGGAAAATACCTATATTCAACGAGGTCTCGAAGGTTTTGTGGCTGCCGTTTCGCCATTCAACTTTACTGCCATCGGTGCTAATCTTGCTTCATCGCCGGCTCTTATGGGCAATACGGTTCTATGGAAATCAGCCAGTACAGCTATACTATCCAATTATGTGGTTTATAAACTTCTCGAAGAAGCCGGGCTTCCGCCAGGTGTTATTCAGTTTGTACCATCAAAAGGTGGAGATTTTGGACGAGCAATTACTCGGTCACCCCATCTAGCAGCAATTACATTCACGGGTAGCACAGACACATTCATGGTAGGCGAAAAATTCTGATTATCTTTTTTTCGTTCATCGAGATAAGATATTTTAGACACTCTGGAAATGGGTAGCTGACAATATTGACAACTATCGGACATTTCCTCGTATGATTGGAGAATGTGGTGGCAAGAATTTTCATTTGATTCATTCATCAGCCGATCCAACAACAATTGTCTATGCCACTATTCGTTCTGCATTCGAATACAGTGGTCAAAAATGTTCGGCATGTTCTCGAGTCTACTTACCACGTTCGATGTCGAAAACGTTTTTTGCTCATATGAAATCAATCATGATGAATGAATTAAAAATTGGATCGCCTCTTCAACACGAAACGTTCACATCGGCCGTTATCGATCGAGCATCATTTGATAATATCCGTAACTACATCGAATATGCTCGATCATCACCAACGACCAAAATTCTTGTTGGTGGTCAGTGTGACGATTCAGTTGGGTTTTATGTTCAACCGACTCTAATCGAAACAACCGATCCCAAAGACAAATTGATGTGTGAGGAAATTTTCGGTCCTATTCTCACTGTTTATGTTTACGAGGATGATAAGTACGATGAAACCCTCGAACTCATCGATCAAACATCGAACTATGCATTGACCGGATCGATCTTTTGTAAAGATGAAAACGTTCTCAAGAAGACGCGTGCACGTTTGATGCAAGCCATGGGAAATCTCTACATAAATGATAAATCAACTGGTGCCGTTGTCAATCAACAACCGTTCGGTGGTGCTCGCCTTTCGGGTACGAATGATAAAGCCGGTGGACCTCATTATATCTTTCGATTTTCCTCGCCATTGGCTGTAAAAAATATGAAAGAACCATTGAAAACGTTCAAGCACGCTTCCATGGAGTAAAAATCTGGCAATTGGATTCCATTTTCATTCCTTTTTGTATTGAATTAAATATTATCTACTTTTTAGTTGTTTTTCTACTATCAACTCCGCAAATTTGATCTGAATAAAAGAACTTCTTACAAAAATGTGGATCTATCTTCTTAAAGTTCCATAGGGACCTATATATCTAAACTATGCACTCGATATCCTAGAGGTTCATCTCAGTCAATCACAACTCAATCGATCGATCACATTCTCTACACATGCACAAGCGCATTGGTTCATAGATCTTTTTACACATGCATATAGTATCACAAGCAGCCATTTTCGAAAGCTTTATCATGCTTCACATATTAATCTCTTTAAGGATTGCGCTGAAAGCGTTTATTTTGGTCGCAAAGATTACATGATCATTCGATAACTACGTTTTTCAAATAATATAATTCGATTTGATCAAAATTACTCACCACTGAAATCACAATTGACGAAAACATTCTGCTGATTTCATTTATCAATACGGCGTGAAAGAGGAATAAGTGTGACTGTTCTAATGCCTTTCTTTCATGTTTCTACTTAGTTGTTTTCGTAAATGATACCACCGGAATATGATAGTTATACCCCATGTCGTTAGAATCGGCAAAAAATCGCTGATAAATCCTGATTTATTGAAACGATAAGCGTGCGCTAAATCGTGATAGAATTCGCCAATTTTTCTCGATTATTTAACCGATTTTAACGATAAATCGTGATTTTTCTGCGATATTTAACACTATGGACTGATATTATATACTATTTCATTGGTCCTTTTTGGAAGACATATTTCGATTTTTCATTTAATTTAATTTCATATAATTATTTCTGTTCTGAAAACTCAGACAGATCAGATCTTGTGACCTGGTCGATTCCAAGTCAATCAGATTCTCATCAGGCTGCGTCAGTGTAGTCCTTTCCCAATCATCGATCAAGATTGGCATTTTCTTGATTAAGAATCAATCAAGAAATAATCTGTAAGAAAATTATGTTTCAAAAACTTATATTGTATGCGTTTAACGGTGTTGTTTTTATATCCTCTTGTTCTCTGTACTGAAAGGAGGATCATATGCCGAAATGACCTGCATGTTCATTCGTATGTTTGTCCGTCCGTTCGCATAGAACGAAAAAAATTTTTTTTTACCTATTCTGAGTAATCTATTTATAAAGTTTGACCGAAGGTAATCGCATGCAATGGGCTAATAGATTTCAATCTGAAATTAGAAGAAAAAGACGCACTTGAATTCAAATGGAAAGAGGAGCTTGCGGGGCTTTAGTATATATATATTCCCTCTACTGAAAGGAGGGTATACCGAAAAATAGCTATCTTCGTTCTTTCGTTCGCATCAATCAGATTTAGAGGATGGAAAAACACGTCATTTCAGTCTTAAAGTGACCTAGAGGCTCGATGGTTAGCTAGAAAAAGCTTCGGATCGACACATCAGGTGTCACCATGGTGATGGTGTTAACCAATCAGGTTTCGAGTAAAGAAAAGCATAATTTCGACCTTGAAGTGACCAAGACATTTCAGCGCGTAGAATTGTGAGTAGGGGTGTACTGAGACCGAGACAAAACCGAGGCTCTCGGTCTCGGTCACCGACTTAACTTCCTTCGATCGAAATATGCTTCATCTTGACCTTCTTAGCATCTTATTTTGTTGTGGATGCGAGTATGAAGTAGGAACTGTGAAATGGAAATGTTGGTACGAAAAAAACACGTGTTGATGTATCCTCAAAAATTCACACATATGCACGTATGCATTTTTAATGGTAGCTACACTTCATGGAGTGATTATTTGTAACCTAGACCGAGAACTCGGTCTCGGTACATCCCTAAGTGTGAGTCGCACGCATCATCAATGCGATGTTCTGATAACCACGGAAATGACGAATCATACTTTTCAAATTCAAAACAACCTTCTTTCTATTGGAGTGGCGAACGCTGCTAAGACCGACGTAGTGAGAGTGTGAAACTTGAAGAATGAGCTTTCGATATGATTCAGGCATGATCTGACTGTATTCTCGCGGCTGGACACAGAGTTTACCTGACTATTTTTGCTCTGAATGTGTCGTTACCGAGGATGGGTGTTCCTACGCTATTCTGTTCAAACGGTCCTTCATGTGTTTATTATACGATGGTACCACACAAGGCTAAGTTCGATTATACAAATCGTATAAATCCTATATTAAGAAAATTCGCAAATCTACAGTTTTCATAAGGAATCGCATACACCCGATTCAATGATTGATAGGCAAGAACATGACATACTCAACGAGTCGTAGTGAAACCTCAAGCATAGACATGTGCCAAACGCAAACTGGTTGGGTGTGATGCGTTTGGGATCGACTCAAAAGATAAGTTCCATCTTCATTTTTCAATAGTCTGGCACTTTTCATGATCTAGAGCCCAACTGCCTTATCTTCAAAACCATGTAGCGGCAGTTTTAAATCTAGTAAAGCGATCATTGAATGAACATGATAATGTTATTGATGATGAATGTTCAAAACGAGAAAGGTCGATTTTGTCGGGAATTTTCGACCTTTGTTCGATGATTCTCAACCTTTATTCTTCATGCTAATAAAGATTCCTTTTATACAATGGCATTATTAACTTTAAACAGAGATCTGACCTACTACTCATATGTTAGCACTACATAGTCGCAAGTTCAAATGAGATTTTGTTAGCGCCATCAGAAGACGCTGGTTGACGCTAAGCGTTTCCATATGTGCTACATGTTTTTCTTTTCTTTGGTTACATTGTGATTTGTCATCTCTCACTGCTCACGTGAGAGATGATCTATCCATTGCGACGTTCTTTTGTTTTGTTCGTTCGTTTTCTCTTGAAGGCACCATTTGTTGTTTTACTTCTCGTTGTCTTGGTCGTTCTCTTGGTTTTCCCAATACACGTTGTTATTGCTCTCCATTTGCATTTCATCATTATACAGGTATGTATTTTCGTTCCTAGATAGGCATCTAGCGAGGAGACTTACAATTGGTGGAGAAGGGTGTGGATGTACGGGTTTGGGTATGGGTATGAGTACTGGTCTGGATCTGCGTCTGACTCTGAGCGTAGATGTGGGCATGGGTATTAACTCCCCCCCCC